CGATTTCGTTTTTGTTATACATAGAAAAAGAAAGAAAATGATCAATTCGTGGTGTTGATTTAAATAAGGGGGAAAGAACGAACGATCGTGATGTTGAGTATATGCCTGATCGTTTTTGAAAGTAAGTGTAACGAATGCGTGTTATCGACGTGTTTAGACAGGCGGCAAAGCCCACAGAGTCGCTGTCTTGTCAGCGGAAGTACTGAGGAACGAGAATTCCGTCGGATGCCATCGACCGGAAATAACCTTGTCTTGGTGTTGCGCTACCACCACGCTGGGCAAGGGCATCGTTAAATCACCTGCAAAGAAAAAAAAAGGGGGGATATTAAAAAGGCATCATTTTATTATTAGAATAAATTGTACAGAATGTCCCAGTCTAAATTCAGCTTCTTCTTTATTTTTAATAATACTAGAAAATATTTGTAAGTTGTGATAGAAAGAAGCATGATATTTCATGATATTCTACTTTTGAAACGATATCTCAGACATTTCTCAGTCATCATTCATAAAAAAAAAAAATATGTTTTATTATTTAGGGATTATAACCATGGTGACAATTCGTAATTATTTATGTACTTTTAGGGAGTAGAATAATTTTTTCATAAAACATATAAATAAATTTATTGCATTAAAGCTGATAACAGCAAAATACATCATACAGAGCAACGTTACAGTACTACTAAAGAATGAATTAAATTCCTTTAAACCAATTAAATAATAATGATAATAATTCTAGAGGACAGATTATCGACTAAATGTCAAATTCCAGGAAATAAATTAAATTCCTGCCAATTAAATGATAATTCCAGAGAAGATGTTTCATTTCTATCAATTTAGTCACGCATGATCCTACTGAAGTAGCATAAATTTACCTATCTATTAAGGTAGTATAAATTTACCTTGCAGATCAGTCAGAACGAGTTTGTTATCATAACCACCGGTGAGCAAGTAGTACGCAGAAGGTGAGAAGCGTATACTTCGGATGTCAGCAGCGTGGGGCTTGAAGCATTGCACGGTTCTGCCGCCCCGGATGTCGAAGAGGACGCAGCTGCTGTCCTCGTGACCGGACACCAGAAGACGCCCGGATGGATCGACGCAAAGCGCAGCTACCGGGCTGCCGACCTGCAACGGGATCAAATGCTAATCAGACACGCGATACTGATTCCGTTCCAATTTTACTTTAGGGTACGTCCGATAAAAATTCGATCCTGAGATGAAGGCTCAGAGAGAGTGTGAACTAGAGAAAGAGAAAAATGCGATTTGTGATGGTGGGGAGGGATGATCGAGTGCGATTCAAAAAACGTGGGTCGAAATTTTATCGGACGTCGGGTGGAAAAACGTAACTCAAACAACAGAAAAGTCGATGTCGTCGGTGCATGCTGGTTGCGTTATGAATTATAGAAATCCTTTCCGTATTGATTTACGAGTGATCAATGTTAAATACTTTTGGTTGACGAATGTCGATAAATTTGGAGATTAAAAAAATATGACATCAATTGTGTCATATTCGTGGGAAAGAATTATATTCCCAGGGAAAGAATTTCCCCAATCAGGACCGATGACAGGAAGAAAGCACTAATTAAGAAACAGACTGACGAATCGGACGGTCGAGTGGTACAAAAATATTAAACTGTGAATATTAAATAGACGGAATAAATTTAGCTTTTTTTTTCTCATTTCATTGGTGCTCTTGAAATATTCTAAAGTGATCTTTCTTCGCGCGACGAGTGTGAGTACTCGTTAAACATATTAAAAAAAGTTACAATCTGCGAAACTAAAGCAGATGTTCATATGTTATACATTTAAAAAATATATCACTTTGTACTATACATCGTCTCGCAGAAAATCAGAAATTTTCTTAAAATCTGCTGATATCACTCGACAATCAGATTCTTCACTAAGCATTCTATAAAAGAACATGACCACCGTCGAAGAGGAACTGAACTAACCCTGCTGCCAGGTACCGTGGCTGGTGTGACCATGTTCACGCAACCTCTCGTTCGAAGATCCCAAAATCTGACAGTCTTATCCTGTGATCCACTGACGAACATTGCACCACCCCAATTGTAGAGGGTGAGCACGTGGCCACTGTGGCCGCTCAGAGCTTGGAAAGGTGTGCCGGTCGCACAATCGGTGACGTAGATCTTGCAATCGCCGGCACCTCCGCTGATCAACAGACTCGACTTGTTCGAGGTGTCCTCGAGGAAGCACAGGTCGCGAACAGTACCGTCGTGCATCGTTAGCTCGACTTCTTGTCCTGAAGGAGACACGATATTATTGCAATTTATTAATCAGATTCCTTAATCGGGAAATCTATCTTCGGAAATCCAAATTCAATTTCAAATTGAATTTAATACATCAGATGTAATACATAAATGAAGACGATTTGTATATTTTAAAAGATGTGATATGCATTGTACTTTTCACAGATTATACTAAATTATTCCGCAGGTATAGGAAATTCGGTAATTTTTATATCCACGAAATTGAAAATCCGCGTAACAAATTAATCCATCATCTCGTCGAGAGAGATCGCATCGAAAGGAGAAAGTTTTTTTATTTATTACGCAACAGTTATCGCACTTTACGAGAGAGCAACAAGTAGGAAGTTGAAATTAAATGACAGACACATTAAGAGTAGTTCCTGAGAGGAACTGATGTAACAAGGAACTGTGAAAGTTCCGACAAATGTCTAAAAAATAAGATAAAGTAATTTTAGCAAAAAAATTGAGAAATTTACCTTCGAGATTTGATGTATCGGCATTGAAGCGCATCAGTTTGACAGTCTTGTCGTTGCTTCCGGTCGCCATTAGCTGTCCATCCGGTGTCCACGCCAGGCAATATATCGAACCCTTGTGATGTTTCGTTCTCTTGAAGAGAACGGTGGGCTGATACGTCTGATGATCTTCTCTGAAGAAACAAATTCATTCGAGCATCAGTAATCGCTTCTCATCGTTTTTCATCGAACAATTGGAATACGTTTGTTCCGTTTCATCGCGCAAGTATCGCTAAAACAACCCAGAGAGAATCTAGCTTACAAATCGTTTCACTCTTGTCTACTTGTTTTTCATTCAACTTTCCATCTCGACGTCATAAATATCAACGTGAATCTCTTTGATTATTAAACGATCTACACTTCGACAAATGCTTGATATTAAATTATGTTTCACTATAAATTCTTTATTATTAAGTTATAAATTAAATTTCAGTATTCTGATGCATTAAAGACCAAGCAACGATTTATCATTATATAATATTCAAATATATTATTTTAATTTAAAAGAATATATTGGTGAAACAGATGTACCAATCGTATGAAAAATAGCTCAAAAGATGATCAACAACGATTTCAATTGTTTCAAATTTGGACCTTGTATTCGCAAAAGCTATAAACGTTGAGACTTTTCTCAAGAACACGGCCATCTCACACGTGCAACAGCCTAGCGATCAAAATAATCATCGACATCGTTCTATCCAGCAACGGAACAAGATTCTCATGCGTCACTTTCCTTCAACCTCGTTTTCCTCCTCGTTCCCAGCCACGGCTGCGATTGCGCATCGTCCTTAATTAAACGGAGCAACGCTTAACGCCGTGGATTCGCGTTTCGGTCGTGGAAACGAGGGAGTGGATGGTCGATGCGATTTTAAAAACAGGAGCGACGCCGCTTTCACATTGGCCGCCTTTTTACGTCGATTTTAATTAGCAGGCGAGTTCTTTTTCGTTTTTCTGTTTTTTCTCTTTTCCTCGGCGCGTCTCCTTTTGCTTCTCCCTATTCTCCTCCCTCTATTTCACTTTGCTCGCGTGCTCGAAATTACCGGCTGGCCGGCAATCACACCGCGGAGGAATCGAACCGAAGATTCTCGATTGCTCCGTCACGATCGTACACGCGTCACTTTCTCCGCGAGGATTCTGCGCAACGTCGATAACACGCGGCTCGATCGAGGCGTTCGCGGTGAATTCGAAGAAGCAACTCGTGGAAATTGCGGGCTTCCTTCCAGTGAAATTGGAACGCCGTCGGTATAAAATATAATGTATGATAGCTGTCCGTTTTTCTCGGGACATTTTTTAGCCTCCATGTTGACGAGGAAAACATGGTTGAGCTACTTCTTAGCCGGCAAAAAGAAGGGAGAAATGAAAAGTGAAATTTCACGGTTTCGTGATTGAGAGCTTGGTGATGCCTCAATTGGAATTATGGCGAAAGAATTATGAGCCTAGGTTGCAGGGGAGAGTAATTGCTTTAATTGTACAAAAATCCGCAGTTCACCAGTGTCAGGAAGAATTGTCACGGATAATTCTGTTACGGAACACACCGCGACAAACGAAGAAACACGCTCTCGCTTATCAATCAACCGCTGTCAAAAGTCTGAGATGTTCATTACGTTCCAGATAGCCAATTTACACGTAGAGATAGAGTGAAACGGTCGTTCGTAGTCAGAAAAACGGATATCTTGACAGATTGATCGAAAATGACGGATACGTCGAAGATTCTGTATACATTGGTCCTTCGTACAAGTTTACATCTCGTCCATTGGACAATCTGTCCTTTTCTCTGTCAACTCGAGTTTCGCATTGATTGCTTCTTCTCGTCGATTCAGCATGAATTCTAAAGACGTGGAAGAAAGTGGCTGAGTAATCGAGGAATTTGTGTTTCGAGGAAAGTTCCGGGGTAGATCGAAAGGTTTCGGAGAAGCGATTTCGAGGAAGAAAAGCTGGAGAAAGGTTCTGTTGTTTTCTGCCGTGCTCGAGGAAATGGTGTGTTCATGTATAACGATATACTTTTTTGATTGGATTGCCGGACTAATGATAATAAGGAAGAGGTTCATAATCGAATTTACGAGTAATTCAAGATCAAGACGGATTTTATGAGTGTGTGATCTTGAAATTGCACATGAATAGAATTAAAATTATAGAAAATTATACAGATTAATCCTGCAAGCAATTTTTAGGTAAAATTGCGAATTATAGGAGATTAGAGAGGGAAAGTTCTTTAAATGTAAATAGAGTTGAAATTCTGAATTATAGAAAATTATATATTATAGGGCAGAATGATTCCATGTTGGAATTATTAAACTGGATATAAATAGAATTAAAATTATGAAAATTTTATACTGCATTTTTGTTACAATTCATTACAGGAAATCGGTACATGTTACTCAAATTGTAATATTTTTTTTTAAATATTGAAAAAATATTTATAAATTAACTTCACAGACGAATAATTTTGTAAAATTACAATTTTTATACAAGGATTAGAAAATTAACAAAAATAACATTATACTTTCTTTTAATAATATTTAATATACTTTCATTTTAGATATTCACCACAATGTTTGAAATTTAAAATTCTTTTCTCAGAAATTCGTTTAAACTGTTTTTCTTACAACTTTCAAAAGTACTATACTTGAACTATTAAACTAATCTAATTTTTTGTAACTTGGGTAATAGATTATTCGTCTTACAAGGCAGTAATAACATATCTATTCATTATATTAAAAGTTGTTTACCTTGGCGAGGCTTTTGCATGTTATTGAAAGAATAAAACGAAAGTGAAACGAGGTGAAGATCTGAGAAATCTGAAAATCCAGAACAGTGAAATTTTCGCTTGTACTCGAATGGAAAAATATGAATTAAAAACATTACCAAGAAAATTTTACCTTTAGTCTAATTTACCAAGCAATTAGTTCTATTCTATAAAAAACATTGAACGGCTGTTGCCAACAATATTAATTTTCATTAGCAGATCGTTATGATTATCGAATACACTTTCTAACCTAGAAACCTCCTCGAAGGTAATTGCAAAAATCTTTCAGAAACACGATTTTCCTATCGTCGGCTAAATATATCTACTTTTACTTTTCGCTGGAGTAAATTTATTAACAGAGTGTAGATATTTATGCAAAGTTAATAATTTTATGAAGATAATTTAAAAAAAAATAGGAATTAGATAGAGA